GTTTGGGGAAGGTTGAGGGTTTAGCCTTTCTTGCTCTGGTGACGTCCCTGGACAACCGTGACCTATGTCTGCGGAGAAATCTAGCGGCTTTGCTGTGTGTCTTGCGGCTCCGCTTCTCCGCGAGGCTGGCGAGATAGCTGGTTGTCCTCAAAGAACGCGGTTACCCTAGGTCCATGTGCAGGGTGGGTGCCTGTGGAGGGTGTTGCTTTGCTTCAAAAAACGAATCTTGTTGCTCCGAGAGGGCAATGAGCCCCCTCGGGTTTCCTCAGCTTGTACTGGGGCTTTGTGCTGGGGAGGGAAGGTTAACATTTCAAGGCCCTTCTGTACTACCTGTTTCGTTTCATTAGAAACCAGTTTTTCCATAAGCGCAATTCATACACGTCACCTCTGTGCGCTCGGGAAGGGAATGCTCTTCTGTGGACGATATGAAAACTCTGAGCTCTAAAATGTCACTTTAAATCTTTAAATGCTGTCTTTTTTTTTCTTCTTTTTCTTCTTCCGCGTGGGTGGGAGGGGCTTACTTTAGTCTAAGGGCCGGCCTTACTTCAGCCAAGAAGTTACCTAGAACAAATTTGAACAACCTAAAAAACAATGCTCCGCGCCACCCTCCCCCGCCCCCCCATTTCCCCGCAGAAATCTGTCCAAGTATCACTGTAGAAGTCGAATGACTTAAATCCTTTAATTTTTTTCCCTTCACTCCAGCACTGTTTTCTGGTGCAAGGGAGTTCTAGGTTTGTCCAAAAGAAATAAAGACAGAATAGCTGCCAGTTAATTTTACATTCTCAAATCATTAAAATTGAAGAAAAGGAAGCTAAGAGGAATAAATTAGTAATCAAATTTGATAATGGTAGTTTTTTCTAATACACTGTATTTTTTTAAGAACAAAGTTAAAACTTAAAAAGAGGCTGAGGATGGAAGGAACTTCTTTGTTCTATCTTCTTCAGAATGTTAGAAGTCTTAAGAACTCAGGACAAGCAGCAGAAATACATGCAACATGGTGACTGGTGAGTTAAAATTGTTCATATGCTAGAAGTATGTGTGCATAGTTTTTTCCTACTATTATTGAAACATTACAATCCTGTCAGTCATTCTGGGTACTGTCTGCCAGAATCTGCTAAGTGCTGGAAAACTGAAGATGTGGGAGACTGCTACATCTTTAAAACCAGCCACAGTTTGTTGCTTGAACATTGTTCTCTTAAAATATAAGTGTTATTGCAACCTTAGCATAGCAAAGCATTAATTAACGTCCTAAATGCAAAACAAAACAAAAAAACACAAGTTTATCTAGGACATACTTATAATTTTATTATACTTGTTTTTTGTTATACTGTTTTATTATTTTTTTTATACTTCATTATTGTCACCTTCTTGTCATTATTGTCACCTCCTTTTGGATCATATTTGTTTTGATCTCGGTAGACATCTTTTCAATTGCTGTTTGTAAATAATGTTTCCATTATCTCATCAACTGAGATTTTCTTATTAGATATCATCTTGTCCTCTGTGATGAATTGTTTGTGTATCTCTCCAAGAAATTCTACAGTTCCACATCTCCTTTTCAGTTCATGTTGCCATTTCAACAAAAGATAAAATAGAGTTGAATTTTTTAAAGTTTGAATTGTTCCAATAAAATGACCATATTGAGAGGCTTTCGTATGGGTGACCTCCTTTATGGAAGCTTCAAAATTTAGGGATGTCTTCCTTTAAGCTTGCATGTTTTCTTTTAATTTGATCAGCTGTAGTTTGTTTTTGATGTTCTCATGCTTCTTGCTTGTCTGCTTTTTAAATGACCACCTTTTATTTGTGAGGGTCTTTTATTTCTGAATTGCCCTCAGAATGAGATGTTATGTGAACCCCTGTTCTTTTCTGTTACTTTGTTTCCCCGCATTTTGTTCCAGATGTTCTAAGTCCTCTTCAGGCTTGACTTAAATGCTTCCTTTGTGTTTTTTTTTTCACCTGTCCTATTGGATTGTGATTTTTGTGTTGTTGTTTGTTTTTTTCTGGATAGGCCAGGGCCTAGTGCATGTCTAACACATGCTCAACCATCAAGCTACCCCCTCCCCATTGTGATTTCTGTTATTAAACTGAAGTGACTGCATGAAAAATTGACACATTAATTTTTTTGCTTTGCTCAAAGGGGAAAAGGAATGGTCTTTGGGTCAGTGTTTACGTCAGGGCAAAATGTAGGTAGGGCTGATGAATTGTAGCAGAAAGCTGACGCTTTCCTTTTTAAGACAATTATGAAATATTTATTTGTATACATTATATGTACAGATATGATCTGTGCAGAATTTAATGAGAGAGAAATTATGGAGTGAACTCCGATATAATTACTTCTCTAAGAAATAGAACAATGCCAAAACCTCTGAAACCTTTATGGTGTCCCTTCCTGGTCACAGTTTCTCAGTATTTATAGACAATTACTATTCTGACTTGTGTGATAATCCCATTGTTTCTTTTTCATTTTACATTTCCCACGTTTGTATTCCTAAACATAATATTTGGTTTTTAAAATATAAGTGGAATCATGCTTCATTATTGTCACCTCCTTGTACCATTATGCTTTTCAAATTTGTCCATGTTTGCAGCTGTAGTTGATTCCCTTTTCAATATTATATTCTGTTACATGAATATACCATAATTTTATTCGTTCCACTGTTGATAAACATCTGAATTGCCTCCAGTTTTTGGCTAACAAAATTTCTATGAACATTTCCTATATAAGTATCTTTTACACAAATGAGGGTGTCATTTATATCTAGGGGCAGGATTGCTTGGTGTTATGAAATGGATATTTTAACTTCACTAGCTAATGCAGGTGTTTGTGCCACTTGACAGCCTATCAGTACTTGGTAGGAATATGAATTTTAAGTTTCTGTTTGAAAGTATGTGTTATCCCAGAATAGAAACATGGTGAAAATGCCCCCAAATTAGAGATTCCTATAACGGCATGGGTCAGATGAGTGGCCCAGTGGGATAATTTCTGTAATTTCTATCACAAACCTTGTAGTAGGTTAGTATCTTTAAGAAAAGATATGTAGGGAGAGACTGGGAACGTGACTAAGTGGTAAAGCATTTGTCTGGCATGTGTTAATTCCTTATGTTAATTTTGACAAACATGACTGTAACTCCTCAAAATGGAAATTAATTTTTTCTTATGAATGTAGTCTTCAAATCAGACTTAAGTAAACTATGAGGAGCCATTGCTAGAGTAGATGGGATTCTTAAGAGGGGATTGAGGCCCAAGGAAGAGGCAGGACTCTCTGAGGCAGCTCAAATTATCTTAGCCCGTCACAAATTCAAGACCTATTCAGCAGAGCTGTATAGAGAGTCTGGAAGTGACCCAAGAGGGGGTGATTCTGCTGAGTACCTAGATCTTCCCTTAGTACCTAAATAGAAAAAAAAGAAATTAGCAAAAAAAGAAAAACAAAAAACCCCAATACTATGGAAATGATTATTGTTTTAGAGTAATGTTTTTCCATGGTGCCATCTTTTTTTCTAGTTATAAAATAATAGCTTATGTGTTGAGGGACTGTTCTGCACACGGTACTGAGCTCCACAGGAGCAGATACCGGGTCTGTACCAATGATCTGTTTGTACTTAGTAGTGAAAATGTGGATCTGTTGATGAGGGACTAATTTGTCTTTATTGTTCTGAAAGCAGCTCTACTTCAAGTATTTAGAAGCAAAATACTTGTTTATAGACTCTATACCCTCCATTAGTCCGTTTTTTTTTCATTATTAATCTCATTTGGCTCACAGAAATTGGGAGTACTCAAAAGATCCTCACAGATTCTTGGTTTATAGAAGTATTTTAATTAATTTCTTTCTGCTCACCAAGTCGTTGACTTGGAGTTAATTAAGAATCTTTTGTCTCTTTGGAGTTATGGAGGGTAGTATTCTCAAGCTTCTCTTTATTTCCAAGGCTCAGCCTTTGTGTATTGTGAGTATCATCTTGAAGAAGTTAACAATCTTATGTAAGTTTTTGGTGCTAGATGGTTTTGTTTGTTTTCAGATATTGAGGGAAAATTATATTGCCATCTACAAGAATTGTCTTCATATCTGTTACTGTTATTGCAGTCTGATCACTGTGTAGAAAAGGATGACTTTAGTTACTTTTTTGACTTAATACAACTTGTGAAAAGAACAGAGTATTAAACAGGAAGTAACTTAAATCCTGTTATTCTATTAGCTGGGCATAACTACTGTTAGTATTCTGATATATTTTGACAGTTTTTTTTCCTAATGTATAATTAAACAATACTGGGATATAGTAATAAAATTGTGTTGACTGCTTTTTTACACATGTGTCTCAGTGTCATTAAGTATTTGAAAATCCCAAAACGTTCTGGGCAAGAAATTCCATGACCCCATGTTAGTATGCTTTTTTTTTTTTTTTTTTTAAGATTTATTTTTTAGTTGGACACAATACCTTTATTTAATTTATTTATTTTTATGTGGTGCTGAGGATTGAACCCAGGGCCTCGGACATGCTAGGCGGGGGTACTACTGCTGAGCCACAACCCCAGTCCAATAAGCTTTTTTTTTTTTTAAAGCTAATCAGATGATAGAAAGGTCAGTGGAATCACACACAAAAAGAAGCAGTTCTTATTCATATGAATTAGTTATATAATAACATTGATGTTTCAATTTGTCAGGCAAAGAGATTTCAATAATTCATTAAGTGGCACAGAGAGGGAAAGTAGAAATACTAGGGAATATTATTGATCAAATTATATTGTTATATTGTTTGCATGTACGAATATGAAATAACAAATCCCACTGTTATGTATAACTATAACATACCAGTTTAAGAAATGTGAAAAAATAAGTGGTACAGAGACAAATTATTAGGTCACATCATGCGAAATTAACTTCTAAATGGACCAGAATATTTTAATAAAACGTGTTCTGAGGGACTAGAGATGCAGCTCAGACGTAGAACACATGCTTAGCATGTATAAGGCCCTGGTTTGATTCCCAGTACTACCAAAGAAAAAAGTGCTTGCTTTGGCAGCACATATATTAAAATTGGAATAGTACAGAGAAGATTAGCATGGCCCCAAGCAAGGATGACACATAAATTCATGAAGTATTCCATATTACAAAAAGTATGCTGAAAACAAATATTATAGATAAATGATAATCTGATCTTATGGGTAGAGAGGGCCTTTTTTTTTTTTTTTTTTTTTGGAGAAGACTTTTTTATTTTTTGGGGGGTGGTATTGGGGATTGAACTCAGGGGGACTCAACCACTGAGCCACATCCCCAGCCTTATTTTGAATTTTATTTTAGAGACAGGTCTCAACAGTTTCTTAGCACCTCAGCTGTTGTTGATGCTGGCTTTGAACTCACAATCCTCCTGTCTCAGCCTCCCGAGCTTCTGGAATTACAGGTGTGTGCCACCACACCTGGCTGGAGAGGACTTTTGAATATGTTTCTGAAGCTTTAATTATTCTAAGCAGTATGTACTTGTCAGCATGTGTCAGGTCAAATGTTAACTTGATGAGGTTTTATTATTGGGATGGGTAAGTCTGGTGGATACTTCAAGAGGGCAAATTGAAAGGACAAGAAAGGAAACCAGAAACGATTTAGTCTGTAAAAATGAACGGATTTGTTATGTTCCTTCAAATTTGTCTTTTCCATTAAAAATTCTTAAATTCTTCATTGAATCTATTATTTGTTAAAATCTCTTACTGTCCTCTGATTCAGTGATTCTCAAATAATTCTGTGGAATTTTATAGAAAATAGCATTTGAGAAGCAGAGACTTCTGCTTCAAACCCCACCTACCATTGTAGCACAGCAGAGAGTTTTGTACTCTATGGTCTAAAACTCTTTAAATACATGACCAGTGATTAACAAAACATGAAGCATTATAGAATTTAAAAAAAATAGTTTTAGTTGTTGAAGAGACCTTTACTGTATATATTCATTTATATGTGGTGCTGAAAATTGAACCCAGTGCCTTGCACATGCTAGACACTCTACCACTAAGCTACAACCTCAGCCCTATTATAGAATACATCAAACATTTCTAAGAATAGAGAAGAATATGATAAATATCTGTGTATTTGCATTTTCTAACAGTTCTATAATTTTTTTTTCTACTTAAACCTTATTGGGGGCTGGGGTTGTAGCTCAGTGCAGGAATGCTTGCCTGGCATGTGTGATGCAGTGGGTTTGATCCTGAGCACTATGTAAAAGTAAACGAATAAATAAAGGTATTGTGTCCATCTACATCTAAAAAATATTTTGGAAAAAAAAAAACCTTGTTGGTCTATTTATTTTTTATTTTAAAAATTTTTATTCTTATTTTTTGGGTGCTAGGGATTGAACTCAGGGGCAATCGAGTACTGAGCCACATCCCCAACCCTATTTTGTATTATATTTAGAGACAAGGTCTCACTGAATTGCTTAGCACCTCCCTTTTGCTGAAGCTGGCTTTGAACTTGTGATCCTCCTGCCTCAGCCTTCCGAGCCAAGATTACAGGCATGGACCACCATGCCCAGTGGTCTTTTTATTTTTATTTAGTTTTATGTGGTATTGAGGATGGAACTAGGGCTTCACACATGCTTCACAAGCGTTCTACCATTGCACTTTAATCCCAGCCACCACCACCATCCCCCCTTTTTGTTACTGGGGATTGAACTCAGGGGCAGTCAACTACTGAATCACATCCCCAGCCCTATTTTGTATTTTATTTAGAGACAGGGTCTCACTGAGTTGCTTAGTGCCTTGCCATTGCTGAGGCTGACTTTGAATTCAAAATCCTCCTGCCTCAGCCTTCTGAGCCACTGGGATTACAACAGACATGCACCACCACACCCAGCTGCAACCCCAGCCCTTTTGATGAAAATTTTAAGGAATTACTTTCATTTTATTTTTGTGCTGGGGATCCAGCCCAGGGCTTCATATATGCTAGGCAAGTGCTTTACTATTGAGCTATACACACAGCCCTAAAGAATACATTTTGCTTCTTTATAAGCATCTATTTTTTGAAGTTTTTGCTCAGGGAATAAATTTATATTTGGATTAGACTTTCTTGTAGTAATTCTTTTGAATGTACTATTCTAGAAATCCTGATAGGAAGCATTTGTTTGGAGATGGCATGGGCCAAATGGTTTTTACTGTCTTTGGAATGTTGGTTTAAAAAAATGCTCTAGTTTATTGTGGCATGAAATGCTCTTATTTAAAAGGTTTATTAAATAGAAACTATACTAAGCTAATTGCTTGTGAGAGAGCAAAGGGGTCTAGGGTATGGCTCAGTGGTAAAGCATGTGCTTTGTCATGTACAAGGTGCCACATTTTAAAAATTAATAAATAGGGGTTGTAAAAATTAATAAATGGGGTTGTATGTAGCTCAGTGATCCAGTGCTTGCCTAGCGTGTGAGGCACTGAGTTCAAATCATATAAATAAAATAAAATAAAAAATTTTAAAAAATTAATAAATAAGGGAAAGGTGGTGGCTCATGCCTGTAATCCCAACAACTACAGAGGCTGAGGCAGGAGGATTGAAAGTTCCAGGCCAACATGCAAGACTGTCTCAAAAAACAGTCTGGGGAATCTAGCTTAATGGTGGAGTGTCTCTGGGCTTCAGTATCCTTATTATTATAAAAAGAAAAAAAGAAAGTAAGGGCTAGGATTGTTGCTCAGTAGTAGAGTACTTGCCTAGCATGAATGAGGCACTGGGTTTGATCCCCGGCACCACATAAAAATAAACAAGTAAAGGTATTGTGTCCATCTACAACTAAAAAAATTATTAAAAAAAAAAAAAGTAATGTGATTGGCAGAGGTTTATCATGAGAGGAGGGTGATTTAAATGCCTTAAACTCTCCTGGACAATTGATAAATATTTAAGACTGGTAGATCAAAAACCAGAGGTCAAAGCATATTTTTAGCTGTTATTACTTTACATTTTATGGCTTCACATCACTGCCCCCTCCAAAAAAATCTCAAAAATTAAGAAACAAAATAACAAAAAACTAGGTGGAATTCTAAATTGAATATTGAAAGAAGTTTGTATCTAGGAAGAAATGGTGGTAAAATTCTTCATACTTAATATCAGACCTGAGATGAAGCTTAATCTGTCCTACCTGAACTTCTGAAATTTGAGTGAGGGGAAATAAAACCTTTTAACCTAGGGACTGGCTTTACTGGGCAATTCTTTTTTAATTATTATTTTTCATTTTTTTATTTTTTAAAATATTTTTTTTAGCTATACATAGGCTACAATATTTTTATTTTGTTTATTTATTTTTATGTGGTGCTGAGGATCGAACCCATGGTCTCACACGTGTGAGGCGAGCGCTCTACTGCTGAGCCACAACCCCAGCCCCTACTGGGCAATTCTTAATATGAAAGTTTTCCAGCTCTGTAACTTTAAGTATTTCTTTGAATGGGTATTTACTTGTATTTATTATCTCCCAGATTGCTGACAAAAAAAGTATTTCTTGCATGACTGTCTTTGCTTTTTTAAAAATTGATTTGACGGCCAAGCCTAATGGCCCACACCTGTAATTCCAGCTACTCTAAAATACTAGCAGCATAGGAGACTGAGGCAGGAAGATCACAAGTTTGAAACTAGCCTTTGCAACTTAGGGATACCTATTTCAAGATAAAATAAATGGGGATGTAGCTTAGTGGCAGTGTGCTTGCCTCACATGGACAAGGCTTTAGGTTCAAAAGCAAACAGGACCACCACCAACGACAACAACAACAACAAAAAAAACAACAACCCAACTTGAGATTGCTTGAATTTTCAAAATTGCCTGTACTAGAATCATAGCTACTGTGACAAAGCAATTTTTATTTTTTGGCAGTACTGGGGATTGAACCCAGAGCCTTACTCTTGCCAGGCAAGAGTAAGTACCATATTCCTAGCTCAACTAAAATGTTGAAGAAAATAAATTTAGGAAATTTAAGTTCCAGTTGACCTTTGCTGGTTTGTTTTGTTTGTTTGTTTTGGTACTAAGGATTGAACCCTGAACCCAGAGGCACTTTACCACAGAGCCACATCTCCAGCCCTTTTTTATTTATTATTTTGAGACAAAGTCTCACTAAGTTTTTGAGACTGGCCTCAAACTTGTGATCATCCTGTCTTAGCCTCCTGAATCGCTGACATTACAGTCAGGCGTTTCTGTGCCTGCAGCTGTTCTGTTCTTATTTTTTCACTTTTATTTGAAGTTCTGGGATCCAAGTGCTCCACCACTGAGCAATATCACTAGCCTTGCTATTCTTTTTCTTTTTCCCCCCAGTACTGAGGAATACTGAGCTACATCGCCAGCCCTTTTTATTTTGAAATAGTGTCTCACTGAATTGTCCAGGCTGTCCTGGAACTCCTAAGTGCTTTTCCTGAGTATCTGGGAAGTGTGTACCCGAACTAGCTGTTGTTTTATAATGAAGGTGAAAAACTGAAATGCACTGGCATTGTAGAGGACCCAGTAAAAGCTTCTCACATAATCTCTCCCTTGACCACTTTTGAGCAGTGGGGTATGTATGATTATATACCGATCCCCTTGTGAATTGGGTCTTTATTGTAAGAGATGCCTTAAGGAAATCCAGCCTTGAGGCTATTAAACAAAGGAAAACTTGTAACACATTCTTTACTGATTTGTAGAGTGAGTACTTGTGGGTCACCCACAATGAGTAGCCTTCTCTGAATCTATTGGAAGGACAGTATGCTTGGCCTTGATACTCTCTTTGTATGTGCTGTGGACATCATTGATAATGTTGTTTTGAAGTCTCATAGTAGATTTAATTTTTCTATTTTGAAACAAGATAACTGAAAGCCCCTGCAGCAGGGAGAAAGGAAAGCTGGACTTAGGGAAGTGGTCAAAAAAGTAGTGGAAAAGTGGCAAATGAGTGTTGTTTCAGAAGAGAAGAGGCTATCACCTTACACCTCTCTGACATGTAGTTGTTCTCTGCAGTCAATTGTGCTTGGGGTTTACTGAGAAGTAGGGACCCTCTTAAGGGTAATGGTCTGGAAATTTTGATTTCAGATAGGTTAAGAAAAAAATATGTTCTTTATTTTTGGAGAAATATATTCATAATACATTGTATGCATAGTTAAGATTCATTGCTGATCTGTTTGTTTGAAAGTACCCAA